GCAGGGAGCCCGATGTGGGACTCGATCCCAGGACTCCAGGATCATGACCTGAGCCGAAGGCAGTCGCTTAACCAACTGAGCCACCCAGGTGCCCGGTACACTTTAATTTTTAAATTTGTTTTAATTTTTAAAATTTTTGGTACATTTTTATTTTTATAAGCTCTTTTTTACCATTTGCTTATTATATATAAACTCTTAATAGAAACATGGGATTGAGAAAAACATTTAAAAATAATGGTGATGAGGGATGCCTGGGTGGCTCAGTCAGTTAAGCATCTGCCTTCAGCTCAGGTCATGATCCCAGGGTGTGGGATCAAGCCCCGCATCGGGCTCCTTGCTCAACGGGGAGTCTGCTTCTCCCTCTGCCTGCCGCACCCCCTGCTTGCGCACTCTCTCTCTCTGACAAAAAAATATATAAATAAATCTTTAAAAAAATAAAATAATGATGATGAAAATCAGTTGTAATATCCAGCCTCAAATATCAATGGCTCTCCATCACGTATTTTATATAAATAATACATTTTAGCATGTGTGCTGCTTTAAAAAGTTTAAACAATTTTCAGTTCTTCTAATTTATTGAGATTGTTTTATGATAAAGAATATGATCTCTTAGTGAATATATCATGTGCACTCAAAAGTGTGTATTTCTGTGTTGTTGGGTGTAGTGCTAAGTCATTAAATCAAGCTGGTTGTTAATATTGCTCAAGTTTTCATCTCCTTGTTCTATTTATTACTGAGGGAGGGATGTTGCCATCTCCAGCTGTATTTGTGGATTTGTCTATTTCTCCTTTCAGTTCCTTCAGTTTTTGCTTCATGTGTTTTCAAACTCTGTTATCTATCATCTATCTATGTATCATCTATCTATATTTAGAATTATTATGTCTTCTTGATGACTTGCCTCCTTATCATTATGAAAGGCTTTCATTATCCATAGGAATTGTTTTTGTTCTGCAGTCTATTATTAACATAACCATTCTTGCTTTCTTTTGATTATTGTTTGCATGGTGAGTTTTTTCCAATACTTTATTTTGACTTATCTGATTCTTCATACTTTAAAGTATGCTTCATGAAGATAGCACATAGATGAATTTTGCTTTAGTGTCTAGTCTAACAATCTCCGTCTTTTAATCACAGTATTTATACCATTTATATAAAATGTAATTACTGATAACTTTGCATTTGTTTATCACCTTTTTGTTTTTTACTTGTCCCATTTGCTCTTTATTTCTGGTTTTTATCTTTTAGATTTAATATTTTTTCTAATTCCAAATGATTTATTAGCTATTCTTCTTTCTTGTTGCTGTTGTTATTGTTCTTAGATTTACAATATATGCCATTAATTTATCACAGCCTACTTTCCAATAATGATATCATTTTTGATATCATTTTTATTCTCACTGAGTAACTTCCTTTGACATTTCTTGCAATGCAGAATGACTTCTGGTGATGAATTCTCCATTTTCTAGTGGTCTGAAAAAGTCTTTATTTTGCCTTTATTTTGAAGGATACCTTTGTTAAATATAAAGTTCTAAGTGAGTTATTTCTTTTCCTGCCACATCACTTTAAAGATTCATTCCATTATCTTTGCCTTGCATAGTCTCTGAGGAAAAATCTGCTTTCCTCTTTGTGTAATATGTCATTTTAAAAAAATTGACTACTTTTACGATTTTCTCTTTATTACTGATTTTCAGCAATTTGATTATGATGCACTTTGGTATGGTTCTGTAGGTTTATAGTTCTCACCAAATTTGGAAAAAAAATTTCACCATTATTAATTTAAATGTTTCTCTGCCCCATAATCTCTTTTCCTTCTGATAGTATAATTGTAGATAGGTCAGACTGCTTGATATCCCACAGTCCACTGAGGCTCTGCTCTTTTTTTTTGTTGTTGTTGTTGGCAGTCTTTTTATCTTTTTGTTCCATTTTGGATAGCTTCTGTCACTGTACCTTCAGGTTTGCTAATCTTTTCTTCTGCAGTATTTAATCTGTTGTTAACCTGTTCAATGAATTTTTCATTTCTGTTGTAATGATTTTCAGCTTTAAAAGTTTCATTTGGTATTCTTTTACATCTTCCACTTATCATCATGTTAATGATTCTCCTTACATACTTGGATATATGTGCAATAACTCTTCCAAAGTTCTTGTCTGCTGCTTCCATCCTTTCTGTATCACAGATCTTTGGAATTAGGACTGACACAGACAGCATATGGTTTAATCCATCCACTCATGTGGCAGGCAAAGAACCTGAGCCCCAGAAAGAGAGAGAGAGAGAAAGGGGCATATTATATAACAACCAGGCCTCTCTGCCAGGCATTTTAAGAATACTGGCCAATTAATCCTCATTGTGTCCCTCTAAGATTGTTGTAATTATTATCCCCTGATTGAGGGCCAGAGAGGAGACAAAGCAGTCTGACAGGTTCTAAATCACTCGGCCATCTAGTGGAACAGTCAGGTCTTCTAATTGCTGTATCACTGTTATCTCCACCATTCCTGCTACCCTCACCCACCAGAAAAAAAAAAATGTTTTTTTTTCCCCAAAAACTAAGCACACATTTTGATAAGTAGTGCAAATACAACATTTTCAACCAAAAATTTCCATTGATGGAAAATGAACAAAATTCCTTTAGAGGGACTGATGGAAACATGAGTGAGAACCTCAAACATGGAGGATGACCATAAAGGTTTGTTTCTCTGTATTATTAAATAGGACACAGAGGTAGCAGACCCTGAGAAGCTTAAATCATGATCCTTCTCTATTTTATTTATTTCAGAGGCATCAGAGTGTGTTTTACAAAGTATCCAGGGCTAGAGCCATGTGACTATTTTCAAAAGTTGTCCAGATAACTGGAAATCAGTATGTATTCAAGCTACGTGAATTTTTAACTAATATGAACAGTCAGTAGTGGACTCATATCCAGAGTAGTGGATATGACTCAGAAGTGAATCCTGTGAATGTGGACATTTTTGTTCAGGGTAACTAATCATTAGCTATACTTCAAGTGGCATTGGGTATTGGCTTTGGAGTGAGATCAACCTGTGTTTAAATCCTGGCTTCACC